GCTCCCCGGCCAGCAGACAGCACGGCAGAGCAGGTGCGGGTGAGGGTCCCTGTCCCCCTCTAGGCAGGACCCTGATGCCCAGCCCCCAACTCACACACAGGCCCATCACTCCTCCTTTCACATCACCCACCACCCTAGTCGAGAGGAAACCTCTCACCCAGCCGGCGGGGCTCAGTGGTTGAGCGTCGACCTATGAACCAGGAGGTCCCGGTTCAATTCCTGGTCAGGGCACAGGCCTGGGTTGCAGGCTCATCCCCAGTGAGGGGCTTGCAGGAGGCAGCCGGTCCATGCTTCTCTCTCATCGTTGATGTTTCTCTCTCCCTCTCCCTTCCTCTCTGAAATCAATTAACATATATTTTTTAAAATATTTTAAAAAGAGGAAGCCCTCACCTGCCATCTGAAGACACCAGGCAGCTTCCAGGCTCCCCACCAAGGGGAGGCAAGGCGCCCGAGAGGGGGTGCCTCTGCAATCGCTGCGGGCCCATTAGCCAGGTGCGCCCCTCTCGCTCACAAGCAGAAGCGCGGGCTCCTGTCCAGGCCCACGCCTGCAGACAGCCTCATCTGCCCCTCCCGACACCCGGACGCGCTCTCGGCGGCCGTGACGGACGGGCGGTTTCCTTCCTCGACATGGGCAGGGGCTTTCAAACGGAGGAAATGAGAAAGCCGCCCGTCCCCCTGTCAGTCCAACTCTCAGGGCCCTGCCTGCCCGTCCTGGGCCCCTGGCGTCCCCTCACCTCGGGGGAGCCCCACCACACACAAGGTCAGGGTCAGCGCCTTTGGGGGACCCGCTCCTGGTCCCTGGGACACTGGGCCCCTGCACCCACTGAGCACGGCAATGCTGGAGCTGGGGGTGGGGGACGGGGACCAGGGGCCAGACTCGCCCTGAGCACCGATGTGGTCACTCTCTCAGCCGCTGGGGCAGCATGCTGTCATGCAGCCACTTTGTAAAGTTGTCACACCCACCGAAGGCAAGCCGACTCCCAGCCGTGACCCTCCCAGCCAGCCCTAGAGACGGCCACTGGCCATTGAAAACGGCACGCACACGTTCACCCGACACCTACAGGGATGCTCACGGCAACGCATGAATGGAAACAACTCAAAATGCAAGCTCCCCAGGTGCCCATCGCGAGCAGATGGATGGCGGTGTGGTCACGGGGTGGAATATTACACACCCGTGAAAAGGAACCCTGTCCAGCCACCGGCGCTCACATGAACGAGGAAAAGACGCCGGATACAAACGAGCGGAGACGCTATGAACTCATTTAGTGCAAAACAGGCCAGAGCAACCTAAGCTGCTAGTCGCCAGGATGGGGTGACCTGTGGGTGGGGAGGGCCAGGCAGGGGTTCTGGGTGCAGGAAAGGCCGGCCTCCTCAGAGGGTGGCACACACGCAGGTGTGCTTGGTTCGCGAGAACGCATTCGTGGTACCATCCATGGTTGTTGTTTTTTATGCACGTCATCATTTAAAGGTTTTGCAAAACTCCTCTGAGGCATGGCTGCTGTTAAGACTACAGTGAAAAGATTCAGAGGAAGAGAAGGAGGGAGGAAGTGATGATCAGGAAGCTCAAGGCGAGACTGACCCCCTCTTCTCAGACAGCAGGGTCCTGGAGAAGGCGGCCACACCTCCACCTAAGACCCAGGACACCAGGACCGCAGGTTCCGAGTTCGCACCCCCACACCCCCCCCCACCCTGTGCTCAGGGGAAGCCCAGCCGGACCCTCTCTTCCAGGGCCCCCGCCAGGGGACCACGCCCACCCACGGAAGGCAAGTGAGACTCACAGCTTCCCTCCACACCCACACCTCGGGCCACGTGGGGCCCCCGGGACTCGGAAAGCTCCCCTCCCGGGAAGGCGGGATTTTGCGAAGTCCAAACCTCTTAAGGGGGAACAGGGAAACGCTGCATGAATCCGTGAGCGTCCTGTTGGACATGTGCCCGAGGGACCTGCCACGCTCAGTGGGAGATGTGAGCCGTTAAGTCTGCTCAACGTGATGACATACGACGTGGAAGCACGAGGGCCCGAGGGCCTGACCGCCGGAAAGCACTTCGCCCCGGACACGGAGGGCAACTGAGACCGGGGGGTGAAGAGGCCGTCACAGGTGGGACTGTGATGGGAGCGGAGCCGGGACGGGAGGCTGGATGGGAAGGAGCCCAGCGCCGGCCTTCGCTGTCCCACCAAAATGCCCCCGCCACAGCGGCCATGTCCCCCCCTCACCCTCAGAGCCAGCGGCGGGAGGACAGGAACCGCGGCCCGCGACCCCGGCGCGGCCCGGCAGGGCAGGCGCAGCCCCCTTACCGATCATGTGGTTGGCCACGTGGATCTGGATCTCGCGCTCGTTCTCGAAGGTCATCTGGCACTTGATGCACTGGTAGGTCTTTTTCTGTTTGGAAACCGAAATAGGAAGGAGTCAGACAGGCGGGAGGGAGGCGAGAGCAGAGGCAGGAGGTCCGCAGCCCGGCTCGCTCGGGGTTCCCCGATGGCTCTGGTCCCCCCTGGGCCACTCTGGGCCGTGTTCCTCCCGCCTGCTTCTGAACCAGCTCTGCAGCCCGGGAACAGGGTCGGGCTGCATCCAGAGCAGCGGCTCCCTGCGAGGCCTGCGGACCTGCCCCCTCCCACGGTCACGCGAGGAAGCTAAGGGAGGCTGCCCCGCGGGAGGGTGTGCGAGGCCACCCACCCATCCTCCACCTACCTGTCCTCTGACTCTTCACCCGTTCACCACCCATCATCCACCCACCCATCCTCCTCTTTATCCATTCACCACCCACCCATCCTCCTCTTCACCCATTCACCACCCATCCTCCTCTTCACCCATTCACCACCCATCATCCACCCACCCATCCTCCACCTACCTACCCTCTGTCTCTTCACCCATTCACCACCCATCCTCCTCTCCACCCATTCACCACCCATCCTCCTCTTCACCCATTCACCACCATCCTCCTCTCCTCTTTATCCATTCACCACCCATCCTCCTCTTCACCCATTCACCACCCACCCATCCTCCTCTTTATCCATTCACCACCCATCCTCCTCTTCCCCCTCCCCTTCCCCCCTCCCCCCCCCCATCCTCCTCTTCCCCCACCCACCCATCCTCCACCCACCCACCCACCTTCCTCTTCATCCATTCACCCACCCATCCTCCTCTTCACCCATTCATCTACCCATCTGTCCACCTACCTACTTACACACACACACACACACACACACACACCTCTATCTATCTATCCAGCCAGCCATCTACACAGGGTCGTACATGCACATGAGGACACACACCGACATGAACACACATGTGTACACCCCATGCTCACCCTCACCCCAATCTCCAGTGACACACAAGCCCCCCTTGAATACACCCCCACACCCCACACGACAACCAGCTCCCCACATCACAGGTGCACGGACGCCGCACCCTCTGAGGAGGGAAGACCACAAGCTCACGCAGGCTGACACGTCCAGTCTCGTCCCTAAACAGCTTCGGCACCCTCCCTGGAACCTCGTAGCCACGCCCATCCTCTCCCCATCCCGAGATGCACCAGCAGCCTCTGGCCCCCTGTGCACAGCCCCACCCAGATCCGCACCCCGTGACCATTCCTGCAGACTCCCGTGCCCATGTGTGCACTCACACACAGGCATGCACACGCACACACAGGCTCACCACACCACACGGGCGCCCATGTCCGAGCAGAGGGGACAGGCTGGGGGGACGAGCACGGGAAGAAGCGGGTGAGGTCTCTCTCTCTCTCTCCCTGATTTCCCACTGCAACCTTGGCCGCCCCTTCCTCGCCCCAACACCTCCTCCTCTCGGTCTGTCTCCCCTTCTCCATCCCCAGGAGACGCCCCCTCCTCCAGAGCCTCAGCCCCGCCGGGCGACAACCGCACACAGAGCTTGGCATTCAGAGCAGCTCC